ACCTAATGTATGTTAATAAAAGTTCCTACGGAGGTGCTCTTCTTCCTGTATCTCTTCACTTCTAGTAAATTCCAGAATTTCACTATCTCTCTCTCTCTCTCTTACTCTCTCTCCCTCTCCCTCTCTCTCTGACTCTTTCTCTGAATCTGTCTGACTCACTCACTCACTCACTCTCTCTCTCTCTCTCTCTCTCTCTCTCTCTCTCTCTATATCTATATCTATATCACTCTCACTCTTACTCTTACAGCTAAACACTGCTGGTGCTGAATGATCAACAAATATGCGTCATTTAATGAATAGCCGAATTTAGGAAAAAATTTTAGGTGTAATGGAGAGTTTCAGCAGCCAGCACAAATACTGGGAATAATTGATAAATAAAATAAAGAAAATTAACTTTTGTTTGCTTTGCCTGACCGCCATGCAAATTCCAGACCTGAGGTACGTTTTTTCCCCATAAATGCGTCTCGTTCTTCCGCCTGAGGTCCTCTTGCGCTGGAAAAACAAAAGGGGAGGTCGCTTATGACGCCAAACCTTACAAGAAAGAGGTAATAGAGATATCGCCGGTATCGCTTTATTAAGTCTAGGAGCATTATTCATATACTGTGTATTGTATTTTATTACATCTATACATACATACATATATATGTATATATATATATAATATATACATATATATACATATATATATATGTATATATATATATATGTATATATATATGTATATATCATATATATATATATATATATATATAGAGAGAGAGAGAGAGAGAGAGAGAGAGAGAGAGAGAGAGAGTTGTGTATGTGTGTGTGTGTGTGTGTGGTGTGTGTGTGTGTGTGCGTGTGCGCGTGTGTACACACATACGTTTATATATATATATATATATATATATATATATTATATAATATATATATATATATATATATATATATATATATATATATATATATATATATATATATATATATATATATATATTATATATATATATATATATATATATATATATATATATATATATATATATATATATAATATATATATATATATTATATTATAAATATACATATATATATATATATATATATATATATATATATATATATATATATATATATATATATATATATGTGTATAAACACACACACCTATATATATTATATATATATATAAATATATGTATATATATATATATATATTCGTATCTGTATGTTTGGTTATACTTTTCAGAAATGCAAGATACAAACGCGATTGCAGTGTCCCTGGCGAGCGCTGTGGCCCCATGAATCAAGGCCCTGTTTTTGGTTAATGTTTTATGGCAAAACGAATAAATAATCTCCTCTGGAAGTGTGTCGCAGGGAATTCCTTATAACATTATTAGGGGCGAAGCACTTGTGTTCAGTTAACTATGTTTTATTCTTTCATATTCGGGTCAACCTTATCTTTATGGTTATTGTTCTTGTAGTATACATTTTTATTGTGAGTTTTGCTATCTTTATTAGTGCAATAGCTATAGTAGAAAACAATTAATAACTTGAGAAACAATGAGGATACTAAAGACACTGATATCACTATAATTCATTATTGTTATCATCATTATCTTAATCATTATAATGATTTTTTTGCGAACATTACTACCGTTTCCAGCCGTAACTGGTAGTATCCTCATCGGCGTAAAGAGAAAACCGGTAAAATGTAGCTAGAGATTCATAACCTCACGATCCGGTTCTTCCAATCAAGTCATGTATGAAAATGGCTTAATATGATTATAAGTGAGCGAGATTCAATACATATGTACAGCAAAGTTTGCATGTTTTCAATGTAAAAGTATGTGATGATGTATTTTAGTGATTTGGAAATTATTTGAGTGTGTGCTCACGGCGTTAAAGTAATCAATAATATTGCATTAAAATAATTTGCAAAATATTGAAGTGTGTTCTGGAATGACATGTCACAGAAAAAAATTTACATGCGGATATTGTCAAAAGCAAAAGACACGTATTTAAGAAGGAATTTTTATAACATTGATTGAAAATGATCATTATGTAGAGGATACAATATGATACACAAATAATGAATATATACTCTGCATGAATGAATCATTGGTGGATCTACCATCATCAAGTATGATATTAAAAGAAAGAGCAACAAGAAGAAAAATCTGTTAACACAGAGCTTTGTACGGATGAACATAACTAAATAAAAAGAATCATGTTCATCCTCATCAGGGCAAAATAACACTTCATCATCATTCCTATCAATATCTGAATGATCTCTTTCAAAAACTAATCTCCCTCAGAATGATAAATACAATCGTGCTCTATACATGAAACCAAAAATACAACTGATCCCCATCCATGAAACCAAAAATACCATCGTCCCCCTTAGGATAAAAGGGAGAAATGGGAATAGCGGAGTCACCCCTTGAAAATCTTCTCCAAAGAAAACCTGCGGACCAAAGCTTGGCGATGTTCAGCTGTTCGCTAGACAGGATGGTCCAAAATGGCAGCATACCTCCAATCTGAGGAAGAATTGGTGAGTAGAGTGCCTTCACCAGCGTGTCGTAAGGGTTAGCGTGACTGTGAAAGTGTGTGTTGGACGTCGGGGTAGAGGTGAGAGCCGCGAGAGAGAGTGTGGAGGAGGAAATGTGAGTGTGAGAGGCGCCGATGTGTAGGGGTGTCTCGAGGGGGGAGGGGGCAAGGTTCTCTTACAAGGGAAGTTTTGACAAAGTTTCAATCACCTGTCTCGGGGTTGTCACCTGTCTGACGGTCATCCACAGGTGTCTCTGGGCGTCGGGGAAACAATTTTGTGGGCTGTTTTAAAGGGTGAGGTACAGAGGCGGCGATAAGGGTGCTTCGTCTTTGCAAAATAGGATTATCTTTTTTTTCAACTTGTTGCTATGATGAAGCCAGTTGCAACGATGGTGTTAAATCGGCGAACCTTTGAGAATCTCGGAAATGAATGTTATGTGATATGCTAGAACGGCTGTTCTAGATTAGATTATGTGTAGTCTGTAGTGAAGCTGAAGGTCACATGTGATTATTAAATTTCTAATTAATTTTGATCACATTTGCCAAATAGGTAAACTATGGCACAAGTAGGTTTTAGGATTTTAATGTGAGTTCATAAGAGTTAACTAAAGCAAAATGAGCGACTATTGCATTAGATTGCCAGTAATCTCATTCACAATGATTTCATTACTCAACACAATTGGCATTTATAATAGGTTCTGACATTTAGCATGGCAAGGATACTACAGATAAAGAAAAAAAAAGAAGAAAAAAGTGATATTAAGGAAAATATTAGGATGGTAAATTTGAGTAATAATATTATTATTCAACTGTGAGTTCTAGATTATCAGAAATATATTTTTTTTTTGTTATTTGTTGTTTGTTGCAGTTATATACTTGACCCTTACCATTTAGCTTCCTGTCTTGAAGATCTTTCGGAAAGTGTTTGAATTCTGTAGAACCCTTATACTGCGTTGAAAGGAGACTGTCGTGTGGATGATCAATCACTAGTTTAAAAAGATGATTTCCTGAAATGGCAGTATAATCTGTGGATGTAGCATAGTAGCCTGTGATAATTTATCCAGAGAAATATTTCAATCCGAAGTGAAAACAATGGGGGCAGCGGTCTTCAAAACTGGTCCATTCCATATGTAGAGATTAATGTCTGTAAAAAACATTATGTTGGAAACTATAATTGATAATGATACTAATATCAAATGATTAGATAATTATTATGATTTTTTTGCATTATTTAAGAAATCTGCCATATGATATATTTTGTGTTCCTAGTGGAATATATTTGATAGAATTCATAGCAATAAATAGTTTTTTATCACAAATGATTTAATGAAGCGATAAAAAAATAGCCAATAGCTCAAAAACAAGAAGTAGTATTTGATGAAAAACATTACTGGATAGAGAAAGCTTTTATGATGATACTATTTCCCTATCACTATATAGAGGATTTAAGTATTTGCAGAACAATAAAGATGATACTATTATATTTAGTTTAGGATGATGTTAAATAATAGTTTAATTGTAGTAAAGCCCATAACTTTGAAATGTCAGCAGTTATTAATTGCCACGTTCACATGGCAAAGACGTTTTTGTGGTTGGCTTTACAAAGTTCTTATTTATTGTAGCTTGAAAGCATTGTGAATGCTAGGATATATATTAATTTCTCTGCTCTAAGATGTTGGATAATTCTGGTAAAGAAAGAAATAATTCAGGAGTATGTTACAGTTACAGTTTACTTTATTGTTTTGCCGCAGTAATTGCTTATATCATCTGTGTTTGCGTCATTTGTTTTTACCTCCTGACCGGGAATGCATTGAAGTTTGGAAGGGGCAGCCAATAAGGAGGGGATGGCAATGCCAAAACCAGAATCCCACAACTCATTGACGCCAACACGGCCACACAGCTTTGGGTCCAAACAGGAGAGTCCATGGCTTAAAAGACGATCATCATTATCATTATTATTGTCTCCTTTTACTGAAGATGAGAAAAGCAAAATATTTTTTATTTCAACAGAGACCTCACAGCGATTTGATGTCATGGCGCAATAAGTGTTTGTTAATTGTTTTTGCCATCTTGCAGATTTTACTTATTTGTTACCATCTTGAAGATTTTGCAATATAAGTTACTGTACTTTCTTTTATCTGTTGTTGGGGAATAATGCTTGTCTTTTTCTCTTCTTTATATTTATTCATTAGATTTATACTGCTCTATTTGGCATTTGATATCAAGAGGGAAGGAGATATGGAGAAGAAAAGGAGAAGAGATAGATAATTTTATTTTTGTTTGTTTGAGTAAGATAATTAGGGGCAAAGAGAAATATGGAAAAGGAAGTTTAGAAGAGAAAGAGATAGAAATGTTTTGAAGAAGATACTGAAGATGGGGAAGAGGGAGAAAGGGTGAGAGTGATAATTAAGAGAATGGAAATGAGGAAAAAGGAGGATGGAGGATGAAAGAAGAAATGAGAAGGATAAGGAAAATGAGGGGAAACTGATTGAAAGTGAAAAGGAGGAGACTGGAAGTGGAATGGAGAAAGAAGATAAGAGTGAAAACAAGAAGGAGAATGAAGGTGAGAGGGATAGAGAGTATGAAAGTAAAAACACAAAGGTGAGGGAGTTAGTGAGAGTGATTGTGTGAGTGAGTGAGTGATTGTGTGAGTGAGTGAGTGATTGTGTGAGTGAGTGAGTGAGTGAGAGTGAGTGAGTGAGTGAGAGATTAGAGATTGAGTGAGAGAATGAGATTTGAGTGAGAGATGAGTGAGAGAATGAGAGATTGAGTGAGAGAATGAGAGAGAGTGAGAGAATGAGAGATTGAGTGAGAGATGAGTGAGAGATGAGAGATGAGTGAGAGAATGAGAGATTGAGTGAGAGAATGAGAGAGAGTGAGAGAATGAGAGAGTGAGAGAATGAGAGATTGAGTGAGAGAATGAGAGATTGAGTGAGAGAATGAGAGAGTGAGTGAGAGAATGAGAGAGTGAGTGAGAGAATGAGAGAGTGAGTGAGAGAATGAGAGAGTGAGTGAGAGAGATGAGAGAGTGAGAGAGATGAGAGAGTGAGAGAGAATGAGTGAGTGAGTGAGAGAGTGAGTGAGTGAGTGAGAGTGAGAGAGTGAGTGAGTGAGAGAAGTGAGAGAGAGAGTGAGTGAGAGTGAGAGATGAGTGAGAGATGAGAGAGTGAGAGAATGAGAGAGTGAGTGAGAGAGAATGAGAGAGTGAGTGAGAGAATGAGAGAGTGAGTGAGAGAATGAGAGAGTGAGTGAGAGTGAGTAGAGAGTGAGAGAGTGAGTGAGAGAATGAGAGAGTGAGTGAGAGAATGAGAGAGTGAGTGAGAGAATGAGAGAGTGAGTGAGAGAATGAGAGAGTGAGTGAGAGACTGAGAGAGTGAGTGAGAGAATGAGGAGAGTGAGTGAGAGACTGAGAGAGTGAGTGAGAGACTGAGAGAGTGAGTGAGAGACTGAGAGAGTGAGAGAGAGACTGAGAGAGTGACGTGAGAGAGATGAGTGAGAGAATGAGTGATTGTGAGAGAATGAGTGAGAGATTGAGAGAATGAATGAGAGATTGAGAGAATGAGTGTGAGATTGAGAGAATGAGAGTGAATTTTAGATGAGAGTAATAAAAACGGTGATAATGATGAAATATAAAGGGTTCATAATGAGTATGCAGTCATAATGGAATTATTTGGTGATCATGATTATGTGAGTGATTAACCGATAAAGAAGGAAATAGAGGGTAATTATGTGTGTGAAAAAGCAAATTAGTGCAGACACCTGGAGAGAGAGAGAGATTGTTAACCCTGGGTCTATCCAGAAAAAAAACATGCTCTAAAAGATGATACGAAACTCTGAGACTTGGGATCAATCTCTTAAATGCACTTTATTATATGAGTATATGAGCCGTGTATTATCGTGTGCGGTTTTGGCACAGGATTAGCCTCCCTCCTCCTCTCTCCCTCTCCCTCCTCCCCTCCTCCTCCTCCTCCTCCTCCTCTCCCTCCTCTCCTCTCCTCCCCTCCTCCCTCCTCCCTCTCTCCTCCCTCCTCCCCCCCTCCCTCCTCCTCCTCCCCTCTCCCGCTCATCCTCCTCCCCCTCTCCCACCTTATCATCTTCCCTCCTCCCCCTCTCCACCTCTCCACCTCATCCTCCTCCCCCTCTCCCCTCTCCTCCTCCTCTCCCTCTCCTCTCCCCCCCCTCCCCCCTCCCCCTCCCCCTCTCTCCCACTTCCTCTCCCTCTCCCTCTCCTTCCCCCTCCTTCCCCCCATCTCTCTCCCTCATACACCCGGAGGAGGAAGGTGGTAGGGGGTGGGGGATAAGTGAGTGCGAGTGGATGGGTGGGTGAGTGAGTGAGTGGGTGGGTGGGTAATTGAGTGAGTTGAGTGTGTGAGCGAGTGAGTGGGTGAATGCATGATTTGAGTGAGTAAATGAATGAGTGAGTCAGAGAGGGGTGTGATAGATAGGTGGATAAATGGGCTTCGAGAGGAAGAGAGAAAGACTGGAGGGAAGGGAAATGGGGAGGAAACGGGGGTAATTATCTTTCCGGGCCTTCTATAATGGTCGTTATGATGTTTGTAGCCTTTGGTCTCCTGTCACACCGCTCCTTCCCTCGTTACGGCTCCCTCACGGATTCTTCCTTTCTTTCTTTCTTTCTTTTCCTTTTTCTTTTTTCTCTTTTTTTCTTTCTTTTTCTTTCTTTTTTCTTTCTTTCTTTCTTTCTTTCTCTCTTTCTTTTTTCTTTTTTTTTATAGAGCTCCCCCCCTCCCTCTCCCACATTCCCGTCTTTTGTTAATGGTGGGAAGTGGTGTTGGTGGTGATGATTGCGATGGTGTGGTTATGATGGTGGTAGGGTGATGATTGTGGTGTTGATGGTATTGGATGATGATTGGGAATTGGTGGTATTGATGGTATTGGTGGTATAGATGATGGTAATAGTGACCGTGATTAGAATATCGATTATTGTGGTAGTGGTATTAATGGTGTTGATAC